TATGTTCGTCGTTCTACGTGGCTAACCATCTGTTCGTGGAACAGCTGCCTCTCAACTTCCAAATTAGGCATGTACGAAAGTCACATTTGTGGTCAAAGAGGGAAGCTTCAAAATTTTTTTTTCAAAAATTCACCTGTATTGACCTTGTTTCTACTGTTCTTTATCAAAAAGAAAATCCAAACTAAAGTTTCAAAGAAAGCGATGGTCTTGATGTGTGGAAATGGCAGTTGCAAAATACATACATATTGTTGTGGATTAAATCACTTAAATCACACTTGTGCATTAACCACTTTACTGGCTGACAAGTAGGTTGTGAAAAAATTCAAAACGGTATCAACGAATTCAAAAAAAAAAAAAATTAAGTATGAAGTCCTTCAAAATTCAAAATTTGTGTGCCCACAAAATGTTATTGTTTTGTAATTATTGCTTTGTATCTCCTTCATACTTTACCTTACTCTTCATCTACAGCGTGATATCTTTAACGACATTGTAACCACATAGCACGCTTTTGGTCGATATCTTCACTTAACAAGACTCAAGGATCAATCATACATGTATAAATAGCCAACACGAGTGCCCCTTATATTAATATTTATATCAGATTAAGGTCTAAAAATTATCGTCCTCAACCCCCTTAGGCTTCAAACGACGTACTAATTCTATTTCCCTTTTCATTAAGTCACGCAACCCTTTAGCATGCAAGGAAATAGCTTCTTTTCAATATACGATACTTCGCAGTATCAACACCAAACGATATTTACATTATAATAATGTTATCTCTATGGTTTAGATATTATTTTTATAGGTAAGCACTTTTACACCAGTTTTGGGGATACCTCTGAACGAAATATAATGGAAGAATTCGAAAATCGAGAGTATAGTGCATCATTATTTGCCTTCGACTGTGTATCACACTCGATCTTGCTTCGAAAGCAGGAGGCATATAAATGTTCCAATTCCAGTATACAGGTATTTAAATCACACATTGAAGATCGCCACCAGAAAGTGCAGCTTGGAGATGCCGTGTCATCAAAGAAAGAGTCGTCCCTGGCCCTTTACCTTTTTTGATATATATCAATGACTTATGGGTATGTGACGACAAAGCCACTTACAGGCTGGCGGATACCATAATCTCCATACATGGCACTCAAATATCTGATTTGGAGCAGGGTTTGCTGGATGTACGGATGAGGGCTGAGCAATGGTTTCAAATGAATGTTGACAAAACTTAAAAAACGATTTTTGGCCTCAGAGACCTATTAAATAGGGATCAGCAGGCTACCAAATTTTAAGTAATAAATCCCAATGATCGCTTTCAGTTTTGGACTCTTTCATTCTGTAATGAGCTAAGGAATTATAACATGGGGTGGAGCAGCTCATGGTGACAGAGTTGTTGGGCCGCAGAGGAGGGCTATGTGAATTCCAGTAGTATTATACAGGGTGTTCCAGTTTATTGTTGCATAACTTTAAGATTCGATAGAACTTTTAAAATTAATGCATAAAGTCTATATACACATGGGTCGAAAAATGCGTGACTTCCGAAATACACGGTGTTTAAATTTACTTTCTTTTTTTAAATATTTCGAACAATATTTGATGTATAACAGTGAAAATTGGTATACAAGGGTTTTTTGTTACGACAAAACAAACCATGGGCATAGTTTTACTGTAGCCGCTAGAGGGCGCTCTCTACTGCACCTGCAGTGTATTAAAATGACCGAAAATTATTTCTTAGTGCAATTTTTTGCTTTTTGAATAAAAAAATGATTCTTCGCACTTTTCAACATAAAAAAGCTCTCCTGTGAGTTTTCGTTATAGTTAGCCGTTTTTGAGATATTTCGATTTTTAAGGCATTTTTAATTATTTATGGGAAAATAATATTTTTTTTTTTGGATTTGGGCATTGCAAGTAATTAAGATGATTTAGATTGTGTTTTTGAACACAGCAATGGTTCCTAACTCCAAATAAACACAAAAAACAGAGTATTAATTTATTTAATTTTCCAATATTATTTTTAACAAGTTAAATTAATTATTTACAACTAAAATGCTATTGGATAGTTAGAACAAACATACAAAATCTAAAGTAGTTGCTCGAAATGTAAACCCAATTGTTCAATACACAATTCACATCTACGAGTGATAGAACGTGGTATAGCATTATTCAAATAAGGCCTTATTTCATAACATCATGCATTCCTGATTCTGTCTATTAGCATATCTCTTGTGGTTACGGGAGTCTGCTACATTTTTTCTTTTAGAAATCCCCACACAAAGAAATCTAATGGATTTAGGTCAGGGGATCGTGGAGGCCAGGCGACTGGTCCTCCACGGCCGATCCATCTTTCTGGATAATTTTCGTCCAGTCAGTTTCTAACTATTCTCGAATAATGAGCTGGACAACCATCAAGCTGGAACCAGGCCAATCTTCTTAAATCTAACATAACATCATCCCACATATTTGCATGTTCAGCCTTTAAAAATTCAAAGAAGGTCGCAGCAGCTAACCTTGCAGGTAATAGGTAGGGTCCAGATAGTAGATTACGGTAGATACCAATCCACACGTTCACACTAAATTCATGCTGAAAATTTCTTTCTCGAACTGCATGCGGATTTTCATGCGACCAAATATGTTGATTATGAAAATTTACCACTCCACGTCTAGTGAAGCATGACTCATTGGTCCATAAAACGTTACTTAAAAACTCCCTATTATTATCAGTTCTATCAAGAATCCACTGACAAAATGTGATTCTTCGTTCTCCGTCCCCTGGCTGTAGTCCTTGCACAGGTTGCAAATGGTAAGGACGTCTATGGTCATTTCTAAGAACACGGTGAACATGGCTTGCTGAAATTCCCAAGGCACCAGAAACTCTCCTAACACTTGTGGTCGGATCTCTATCAAACTCACGCAGAATCATACGGGTAAATCCGCGCTGACGAACATTTATGTTTTGATCCCTTTGGAGATTTCCAAAACCATTTTCAATGATTTGGCGATACAGTCTTACAAATACTGAGCGAGTTGGATGTCGTCTATTTGGAAATCTTTGTGCGTATTCTCTGGCTGCTTCTGCTGCGTTTCCATTTACAAAGCCATACACAAAATGAATATCGGCTAACTCTTGATTGGAGAATAAAAATGGCATTTTTATAAAACTTAAAAAAACAGGTAAAAGAAACAAAATTTCGTGCGTTCACCATTGCAAAAAAACGTTTCAGGTTTCAACAGACAACAAAACTAACTGTCAACTAATTGACGTTTAACCTTATTCTGCTTTCAATTTCAAAAATATTTGCAGGCACAACCTACTTCTAAAAATTATCGGGATACTGACTTTTTAACGTTATTTTATCATCTATAATTAAGAATGCATCGAACCTTAAAAATCGAAATATCTCAAAAACGGCTAACTATAACGAAAACTCACAGCAGAGCTTTTTTATGTTGAAAAATGCAAAGAATCAGTATTCTTATTCAAAAAGCAAAAAATTGCACTAAGAAAAAATTTTCGATCATTGTAATACACTACAGGTACAGTAGAGAGCGCCCTATAGCGGCTACAGTAAAACTATGCCCATGGTTCGTTTTGTCGGACGAAAAAACCCTTGTATACCAATTTTCACTGTTATACATCAAACATTTTTCAAAATATTTAAAAAAACTATTTTAGAATGTAAATTTAAACACCCTGTATTTTGGAAGCCACGCATTTTTCGACCCATGTTTATATAGACTTTATGCATTAATTTTAAAATTTCTATCGAATCTTAGAGTTATGCAACAATAAACTGAAACACCCTGTATTTTCGGGTGGACTGCAGGGAACCCTTTGCAAATTGTGCATCTCAACTTTTTCTGTTGTTCTTGATCTGGAAAATATATCGCTTGCCGAAGTGTGAGATACATAAATATGAAACAAAAAATTGGTACTAAATCAGACATATCTCCTGCCGACCGAAGAAAGTGTCAAAACAGACCAGAATCTATTGATGTCAAGTTTTACAATAAACTACCTCCGCAGGCAGCTAATGACCCAGTAGTCGATGCTGCATAATCGCAAGAACTACTACTACCTCCGCAGACCAAAAGTATTGAATTAAATAGCGTTAAGAGCCGGGTTAAGCAACATCTCTTACAACTTGCTCCACATACTATATCAGAGATTTTAAATACTAGTTTTCAATGTACCTAGCTGTACGTGTTATGTAAAGCAACCTATAATGTGCTTTGTGAATACTAACTGTTAAATGACTATAATAGTAACTTTACTTTTTATGAGTTCTTAAAATGCTGTAAAACATATAACTTGAGTGTATCCAAGTGACATGGGCTCATACAATGATCCGTATAGGATATCCTTGTACTTGCAAATTTTGAAGGAAATCCTCCAGATGGTAGTTATAATAATTTTAAGTATAAGCATATCCTTCAAAGCAGTGACATAAGTAAAGGGATATTCATAATCTTCACCTTATCCTTGGCATAGGAAGCATATCCTTCAAAAATTCTGAGTGTGGTCAGTAGCAGACTCAACTTCGTAACGAAAACTGGTCAAACCATGATGGTGGAAATTGTGGATGTTAGGGATGTTAAAACGTGCAAACCTCATTTACCTTCACTTGGTCATGACTTCAAAAAATTATATCGGTTTGGCGAAGCAAATGTACAATGGCTTGCAAACAGATTTTTAGTTGGAAAGAGGAAACTCAAGGAGGAGCACCTTCATGTATTCATAAAATGGAGATATATCTATGCTACCTCGGTGACCCTGGGTATCAACAAGGTATTGGTAAGGAACTTGGTGTTAGTCAAGCAACGGTATCTCGGACTGTGGATAGAATTGTGAACAGCATAGTTGCACAGTCGAACGAATGGATCAAGTTTCCAACTACCTATCATGAACTGATGCAGGCCAAGCGGATATGGCAAAGCATGTATAAATTTCCGACAGCAATCCGTGAAATTGATTGTACACATATACGAATCCTGAAACCAACCTACTTTAAACGTGTAAGCCACTTGTGATGCCAGAGAGATGTTCACAAGTGTTGATGTCAGTTGGTCTGGATCAGTGCATGGTTCCAGAATATGGAGAAATTTACACACTAGATCACGACTAATAAATAAAGCAAATGTTGAACTGCTTGGCGATGACGGTTATGGTATTGAGCCATGCCTTATGACAAGAAAGGGTTATAATTGAACGTTGTTTCGGAAAACTGAAACGCCGGTTTCCTATCCTATGTTTGCCGCGTAAAAATGGAAAATGTGCCTAAAATAATTATTGCTTGTATTATACTCCATAATATTGCGAAGAGTATGGGCGGACCTGACTTTGAGTTAGTTGAACCAGACCCAGATGAAGATGAAGGAAATCATGAGAATGACAAACTTCCTCTTCGCCAACTAGGTCAACAAATAAGAAAAAACTTGAGTATTATAATAAATAGTTTTACTGATTAAAGTGTATTTGTAAGTTATAATGAGGTCTGACGCTACATCATTTCTAATTTCGTTTTATAATACTCTTGTTGCAAAATACTTGTTTGGTACTGCTGTTATATCACTAGACATTGCAGTTCTTTTGTAGTTAACCCTTTGGTTTCCTTAGTTACGTATTTCTCTGTTGCCAACTTTCTTTTTGGTAGCAATGTCTTCTGAATTGCGGGCGCTGTAATACTAACTGTTTGCTTATTGCGCTCGGTATATACTTTCCTTCCTTCTTCTTGAACACTACCAACCAGAATGGCACCTAATTTTCCCAATTGTAGGATTACAGTCACCTTCCATAGCTTTCTACAACTTTCTTTGCAATCTATCAATTTAGTTGCGTTATTACCAGTTTTTTTTAGATGTTTGTTCTTCAATCTTGATTTCATGCTGTTGTTTTTTTTAATAAGCCTTCAGCATCTAATGGTGTACCGAATCTTGAATCGTATTTTTTCAACATCTTCTTTAAGGCATCGTCCGTTCTCATTTTTTTTTGGAACTTGTGACATTTGCAAAATAATGGGAGCAATGGCAATTTCATGTGCGATGAACTGCTGGTCGTTGCCATTATTTTCTATAGTTTCCTCATCACTTAAGGATGACATGCTTATTAATTTGATAAAAAACTGTATCCAGTAAATATACGGAACGGTCTGTGTAAGCTCTGGAGTGCAACTGTCAGTGATGCTGAGTGAACGAACTCACACCTCAACTACAAGCTGGAACAAGTAAGGACATGTCGCTCAAGATACAAATACCAGTCAACATTTTACTTCTTCTTGGAGGATATCCTCTTGAGAATAAGGCAATCATTATGGATATGAAAACAAGGATATGCTTATACTTCTACCATTTTCTCCGAAGCAAGACCTTATACTTTTACCTTATGCTTCCAAGGATATGCTTCTCTTTTATGAATACCGAACAAATGTATACAGATATTTGATGAATCCACCATAAACTAGAGTTATATACAACAGTGATGTCACATTACTTCTAATACAGCAATAGTCAAGCACATTTTTCGGGTTAAGTGGTAGAATAGCTTATGCTAATCTTCGCTAAATAAAGACGTTTTGTTATTATTATTATTATCATTATAATTCACCATCAGTTATAAAAGAACAGTTCTAAAATTGGATCACTGAGAACGATAATCGCGTTCAGCAAACATAAAGCTATCCAACAATCTGCACTGCTGTTTATTCAACAAACTGTCAAACCTTACAGTCACGTAACAACTTCTGTCATACTGACAAAGCTGTTCCACAGTTACAGCTAGTCAGCATAAAAGCTCTGCATCGCTGGACAGCTTTAGTTGACTGAACGCGATCAATGCAACAAAAAAAGAGAAGCAAAACGCATCTAATCGGTCGTATCTCCCACTCCTGGATAAGAATCAACTGTAATGAAAGGTACGAGCATGAAAAGTATGTGTAATGATATCCCAGTTTCATGAGGTTGAGGTTTGGTGAATAAGACTGTGTTTTAAGACGTTTCGATAAGGGCTCTAGATTTCACTGAATACTTACAAGTTAAAAATAACTTATTGCACACGATTCGTGCATCGACTTCATATCTACACCTGCCGCCGATACTTAAGGGTAGTTCAGAGAAATGATTAACTATATTTGGCTCTGAGTTATCACACGTACATCTGCAGTTTATTTTATTGCTGCGACCTATTTCATGCCAACTGCGCGTATTTTCTAATGCTTTGTTTATTTTCCTTGCAGGGATTTGACCAGCAATAACATCACCTGGGTTAACGAAACTTCACTAATACGATACGTAAACTTGGAGGAATTGTAAGTATATATTCCATAATATAACTGTCCCAATTATGACAGCAAATAATTTTGAAAAATGAACTATTTTAGCATGCATGCTTAGTCTCCTTCCAATTGTTAAAAAATGATGTCAAGCAGGCTGACTCTGCGCCTTATATAAAACGCGACAAGTTAGTCCCTCTTAGAAAAAGGCTGACATGTATAACAAAAGGTTTAAATAGATTATGTCTAGTCGAACAGGCTCGTACAGTTAGTCGCCAGTCTCCACAGATTTAACAACACTGTACTCTAGCCTATCAGCCAGTAACATGGCAACTCTGCCTACCTAGCCCCGGCACTCGCAAATCCAGCACAGCGTTGCATACACGGTAACACGCATAATAATAATAATAATATACTAAGTGACATATAAATCCGAACACCCAGTTTAAATGGTTTTATTTTAATAAAATTTTGTATAAGTACTTAATGGAGCATAATAAGTAAATGATAAAAATTTCAAAATGATTGCACTGCTTTAAAGCCCTTTGACCTTTAATAATGTGTGGATGCACCCTGATGTGCTACGCATTCTCCAACGCGCCTAGGTATGCTTCTGATCAGGTGGTCAATGTCCTCCTGTGGTATCTCATTCCAGGCAACCACCAACTCCTCTTGAAGTGCTTCTAGAGTCTGAGGAGGACGTTGCAAATTGAGCAATCTCCTACCCATCATATCCCACACGTGCTCAATTGGGGATAAGTCGGGAGATCTTGGTGGCCATGGTAACAATTTGACATCATTATGTTGAAAGAAGTCTATTGTGACTCTTGCAACATGTGGTCGGGCATTATCTTGTTGGAAAGTTGGATCTGCCAGGGTGTCAAGATAGGGTAAAAGATGGGGTTCTGGAACTTCGTGGATATAACGCTGCGCGTTCATGTTACCTCTGATGAAGATTAAAGGTGACCTGGAACCATAAGCTATAGCACCCCAAACCATAACTCCAACAGTGTGATGAACATGTCTTTCAACAAAAAACTGTGGATTCCTCCTTTCACCACGTCGCCTTCTAACCCTGGCACGACCATCGTGCATGCCTAAACAAAATCGAGACTCGTCACTAAAGACAATACCGTTCCATTCCTGATCCCAGAGTGACCGGTGTCTGCACCACTCAAGGCGATTACGTCGGTGTAAGGGTTAGAAGGCGACGTGGTGAAAGGAGGAATCCACAGTTTTTTGTTGAAAGACATGTTCATCACACTGTTGGAGTTATGGTTTGGGGTGCTATAGCTTATGGTTCCAGGTCGCCTTTAGTCTTCATCAGAGGTAACATGAACGCGCAGCGTTATATCCACGAAGTTCTAGAACCCCATCTTTTACCCTATCTTGACACACTGGCAGATCCAACTTTCCAACAAGATAATGCCCGACCACATGTTGCAAGAGTCACAATAGACTTCTTTCAACATAATGATATCACATTGTTACCATGGCCACCAAGATCTCCCGACTTATCCCTAATTGAGCACGTGTGGGATATGATGGGTAGGAGATTGCTCAATTTGCAACGTTCTCCTCAGACTCTAGAAGCACTTCGAGAGGAGTTGGTGGTTGCCTGGAATGAGATACCACAGAAGGACATTGACCACCTGATCAGAAGCATGCCTAGGCGCGTTGGAGAATGCGTAGCACATCAGGGTGCATCCACACATTATTAAAGGTCAAAGGGCTTTAAAGCAGTGCAATCATTTTGAAATTTTTATCATTTACTTATTATGCTTCATTAAGTATTGAAATAAAACCATTTAAACTGGGTGTTCGGATATATATGTCACTTAGTATAATAATAATAATAATAATAATAATAATAATAATAATAATAATAATAATAATAATAATAATAATTATATATATATATATATATATAATAATAATAATAAGCTCCACAGAAATCCAACCCCTCTTCCGGAACAACAAGCTTAATATTACTTCCAAGTATGGAGCGGCAGCGGCACACAGAACATCAATGTGCATGAAGCTGGCTAACGGGGCTCTGGTGTGATATACCTACAATGTCAAGTGAAACGAAGGAACTGACGGATTCTGGGGGGGACACCTTGACATTCATTCCTAGAAACGCTCCATCAAGGAGGTAAGCGTTTTGTAAAGAAAATCCCTCAAGAACACCCTGTAATACACCTGTCGCTAATATTACAGAAGCTCAACGAAGTAGTAGTGGTTACCATAACGAGATATCTCAACATGGACTCCAAGTATGCAGGCGAGTGGAACCAGGAGGCACTAATCCAAATGTAAGAAGGAGACAAGCCTGGTCCAAGGAAGAAATGAGGGAACTTATGTGGTGCTACCATTATTGCAATAAGACATCCAATGCGAACTATCACAATGTATACGGACTATGGAGAAGCCGAAATCCAACAGTAAGGCCTCATCTCGACAAAAAAAGCTCCTCACACAAAAGAATTATATAGTGAAGAATAATAGGCTGGCACAAACAGACATGGACCAGATAATACGTGAGGTTAAATCAGCAATAAAGTCGAGTGAAACAGCCATTACTGCTTCAATAGATAAACCAAATGTCGACGAATTCCTACCAATCAGGCCGAACAAGACTGTAAGTGCTCCTGAACAGAGCCAAGGCGAAGAGCTGCGCGCAGAAGATAGGATGCCACGACCTATTCCAGATGAACACACTGAAAGCGAACCCCTATCACAAATGATCTAGAACAGAAGATACTGGATTTGTACGGGAAATTCAACCATCAAAATATAAAAGTGCAGCTGAAAAGCGAGTTCAAGAAGAGGGTGAGGCTGATCCTGAGAACCGAACTGAACGGAAGGAATAAAATGAAGGCTATACGACAGCTCGCACTCCCGATACTGCAGTACAGCTTTGCCGTAGTCGAATGGAAATTGGAAGAAATAAAAGCACTAGACCTGGCGACTAGAAAACTGCTCACAATGCATGGAATGGAGGCTTTATGTAAGTAGAAGGGAAGGTGGAGAGGCCTTCTACAGGTGGAGGCAGCTTTCAAGAGTATACTAATGAACATTGCTGGATATCTGGAAAGAACCCGTGACAGATATATGCAACTCATTTACACCATCGATAAAGAGTCCCCCAACACATATCCATCGCCAAAATAGCAGCTGCCTATCGTCATCAGCTGGGAATTTCCACACCCTCACACCACATAGCATACAAATTGGAGTATAAAAGGAAAGTGGCGGAAGACATAAAAAACCGATGGATGGCCAAACCAATGCATGGCCAATACATTATGCAGGTTCTACAAAACCCTCAAATTGAGAGACACAATCCTGTGGCTTTTACAATCCCAGACCAACGGAGAAACTGGCAGCACAAGACCAGGCCATGGCGACCAACTTCTTCCCAAAGAAAATTCTGAAGAGGGACACAGATCACAAATGCAGAATCTGCCACGAGCGTGACGAAACCATTGGTCACTTGATGTCATCGTGTACTTGCGCGACAAGAATATATTATCAGACACGACAAAGTTGCGAAAGCTCTGCACCACGTCATATGTCATGACAATGGCGTAGCTGTCAAGAAGAATTGGTACGAACATGACCCACAGCATGTAACATCATCTGAAAGCGTCACCATCCTGTGGAACCAAACAAACCAGACATAGTAATCAAAGCCACCAAAAATGGCATCTGTACCATCATCGACGTAGCTATCCCTAGTGACTACAATGTGCGGGAAAAAGAATCTGAAAAAATTCTCAAGTACAGAGACCTATCCATTCAGATCAACAGAATCTGGCATATAAAAACACAGATCGTACCTGTGGTGATACGAGCAACTGGCGCAACATCCACTAACCTGTTGAAATATCTAGAGAAAATATCAAAAAACATCATCATGAAACTGCTTCAAACAGCAGCAATATATGGTACCGCACATATCATACGAAAAGTCTTAGGCTAAACGCTCGACCCGAGGGATGTGGTACATCCGGTCAGAGGAGTAAAGCACAAAGCACAGCTACCACCATTTAAAACTGTGAAATAAAGAGATAATAATAATAATAATAATAAACCGTATTTTATTTTCACCGCAAATTCAGTATAATAAAGACATATATATATATATATATATATATATAACAACAAGTAGGAAAATAATGGGCAAAATCTAATCCAATCCCTTGTTGTTATATACTTTTCTCCGCATGATCGTATTCTCTTATATATATATAATACCAGTAACGAAGTCTAGCTGACAGCTACTCTACTCAACCACTAGAGGGGACCAGCCAGTTATTAAATAATATCTAATTACATATGACAAAATCAATCAGGTAGGCAGAAAAGTATCTTATGGTGGTCTCTCAGTATTCGAAGCCGACAGACGTACGCGCTTTGAGCTGTCCGGCACAAGTATATCAAAAATACATCTCTATCATTGAAGTTTTAAAGAGATGTATGGCATATGTCTAAGAGGTGTGTAAAACTACCGGGCTGGCAAGTATAAATCGCGATCACCAGAAAATTGACATATAATCTCCCCTTATCTACCCCTACGTACAATTTTTAACCACAGCAATTTTTTTTTAAACCTAGCAGGATCCTAAAAGCATCAAAAAACAATGTTTGGGGGATACGTTTTTTTGTCATTTTTTGCCTGTAGCTCCGCCGCTATTGGACCGAGTTTCAAAAATTAACCGTTTTCCTCTTTGTGTAAGTTTAATCAACCAAAACATTTTATAACCAAATAAATAAATAATAAATGCGATTTCAGAGTCCGGAAGCCCTCAAATATGAGACTAAAGAGGTAGTATAAAAGCAATTTTTATTTTAATTTTCGTTCATCACGATTAAGAATATGTTTTTTCTTTGGGTTTTTATCAGGGCTTTGAAATCTTTATAAAATAGTAATGAGCCATGTTATAAAGCGCTAAGTTCTTTAGACCATGTTTAAGGATAATATTTTTTTGTTTGTTAATTTTTTGAATAGTTTTGCAAGACTTGCTCAGAAA